TGAGGTATTGCGAGCGAGCTCTTCGCCGTGAGGGCCCTGAGACACCGGAATGCGTTTCCCAGGGAAGCTGTGGATGCCCTAGCCTTGGGAGCGTTCAAGTCTGGTTTGGCCGCAGCTCTGAGCAGCCTGGTCCAGTGGAAGGGTATCCCTGCGCATGGCAGGGGGTTGGAACTGGGTGATTTTTAAGGTCCCTTCCGACCCAAGCCGTTCTGTAATTCCATGATCCTGTTGAAAGGTGCTTAATTTGCCTTTCCAGGCTCGGCCTGGCTGTGCCGGGCTGCAGGGAAAGGGTCGGTGCGGTTCGGGGCCGGGGCTGGGGCTGGGGCTGTGTCCGGGTGCGCTGCGGTGGCACCTGGGCTGGAGGGTGCAGGTTTCTCGCCAGTGTTTCGCCTTTTAAAATTAGTATTAGATTTAAGATCATTGCTGCATGTCTGCTAACAGGGGCTGCTGTAAACTTAGCAGAGAAATGCCCTAACGTTGCTAAGCTGCATTTCATTTTTAATTTCAACAGGTGGTTTGAGCAGTCATTTATGGCATAATTTTTCTCATGCAGGACCCTCACTTCTTGCAGATGGTCGTAAAATCTGCAGACATCCCTAGGGCTGGAATCTGAATGTCATTGCTCCCCAGACTTTGGCTAAGACACTCAAAATCACGAAGTGGATTTTAACTCTTTGGTTTTTGTCTTTTCACAGATTCACAGACTGTTGGACTAAGTTGGAAGGGAACCACAAGGATCCTTGAGTAAAAGACATTTACTCTTAAGTAAATGTCCCATATAGGGATAGCACCCACCACCATAGTGCTACTAGCACCATGTTCTAACCTACTGCAACTACAGAAAATTAACAGATTTAACTACTAATACCGATGTGTTCTCTCAATGAATCTGCACATCACCATGAGGACATCACAGCATCCCACCTGTATGCTGCTCTGCTTCAGGATTTTGAAGCCCAAATTGCCTGGTCTGGTGGAAATATTTCTGATGGAGCTATGTAAGTGCAAGCTCTGCCATTTCACAAGCAGGATCAAAAGTAAGATCAGGATGCACCTGGTTCAAATGCGTGAAACTGATATGGTGCGTGGAATTTCAGGCTGCCCTGAAATGGACCATGGTAAAAATGAATTATGTAGCATTGGAGATGAAAAGAATGAAAACAAAGAAAACCTTGCAAAAAGTTACTGTCTTGTTGCCTGTGTATCAGATACCTTAAAATAAGAGTCCTTGCTGTTGTGACATGAGCTCAAGCATAATCCTCATGCATCTCACTCCTGCGAAAGGAACACCTTGTTTGGAGAAGTAGCAGATTATTTTCAGTTTGAGGAACCCTGCACTGCTGACTTCCGTATTCCAAGAGAAAGGACAGCTAAGCCCAGTCTGTGCTTCTTAGCATCTGTCGTGTTTTCACTGTTAGAACCCAGACGCTTGCTGGGGAAATTAAAAGCCCCTAAAGCTCAGTCAAGGTGTAAACATCACAGGAAAATCAGTTGAAAGCTGGATCTAAAGGCTCTATTCGCCCTGTGGAAGATGCTTGTGCCTTAAAGCTGGCTTCTGAGAGAAAGCAGCATTTCTGAATGTGTGGGATGTAGCATTAGAGCTGAATGATGCTGAGAAAATCCATTTAAAGGATTGTGACATGGATCATGACTTTAAATGTGTTTGTTGTCACATGACAGAGTAGATCTTAATGGAAAATCACTGAAAATCACACATGTGGATAAAAGAAACCTACCAGTGCTTCATCTGTGAAAGTGCTTTTATATCACTTTATAAAGTGCCTGGAAAGTGCGCAGAAACAGCCATCAGAGGAAACCTCATCTCATTGCACATCATCTGAAACTGAGCAGATAAGCAATCTTCATGTAGCTTGCTTGGCAGTACCAGGATACAGTTATGTGCCCACGCAGTGATTTTACCAGTAAGTCAGGTTTTATTTTTCACTCTCATCCAGTTGCTTCCTCAGGTTAAACTTATCACTGCAAATAACTTTCTTTGGTCAATGCAAAATTTGTCAGAGCCTTTCAGTATGAACTGTAAATACTATCATCAGAAGCCACTGTTAAACATCATGCTGTTTTGAGCAAAGAAAACATAAGAACGGTAAAAATTCTAAAAATATGTTATAAATGTTCACTTATTGATGATGTTCCTTCTTCAAAATCCTGTCTCATTTCATATTTTGGATTCTGAATATTTTTATGAGTAGTTAACAGTCATATTCCAACAATTTCAATATTGGTGTCTTTTTAATGACTCTTAACATTACTCAGAAGGTATTTCTATCAAGGTGAGTGTCTTTTATCTCTACATTTCATGAAATTTCTAGTACTTAAATAGTATCTCCATTTATAAAATGAAAGACCTTGACTAGAGTAATCTGTCTCCTAAATCACAAAAGGACACTGTTTCAGTATTCTATTTCTATTCGCATTAACTATAAATGACACTTTTGTACCGATTATACATTTTTCCTCATTGCTTAAATGATGCCTCTGTTCGTAGTTTCAAGTGCTGTGCCATCCATAAAACGGATCCATCTGCATCCAAATGCATCCATAAATGCATTCAGTGCTCACCTTCATGTCTGTAGGTAAAAATCTTGAATGATTGTGTACAAAGGTAGTCTGGGAATTTTTCTGTTTAACCATTCAGTATTGCAGGTGGTTGCAGTGATTAATTGACTTTAGCAAGGTTTTCCTGGCTGCTGCTGGGATACAAACCAAATTCTTGCTTCCTGGGTTGAACTGCTGATTTGGTTCTGATGTCTCAGTATGGCTGAGTAAAAGAACAGGTCATGGTGAAATAAGGTGATGGCTCACGGGTGTTCTCTGGAGTTTGCAGCAGTGGTCAGGTAAGGAAACAGACAAGGAATGTGAAGGAAATGTGGAATGACAGGGCACCCTGTGGTTTCAGCCAGGCATCTGTGTCATTATGTAATTAGATTATGAAGGGTTTTGATTGAAAGGTTTAGATTGGATTACATGTTATGCTGTCTGGTTTTGATGCCTTTGTTGTCTTCGTGATACACGGGCTTGTTCTGAGGTTTCTTCTGCTTGACAGGGCAGGAGATAGAATTTTTTAAAAGGTTATAGCAGAATTTCTGGAGGAAAAGTAATTGAGAAAATGGTAATTTTTAGAACTGAAAGAAAAACAGGTTTTTTATTTGCTTCACAGTAACTTACAGTGTCCCATTACTTGTGACTGTAAGCCAAGAACAAGGCTGCAGTCTAATATAACATCTCTGAAGCAAAGCACATGGAAAGACAATTGAAATTCACAGTATTTCAAAATAGAGATGACTACAGCAGTGAAAAAATTTATGAGTGCTTATACAGACTATTGTTTTTTTATGTGAAAGGAGAACTGCTTTTTATTAACAAATTATAAATTGTCTCTTGAATGAGTAATCTCATTCTTTTTGGGTGGGAGGCGTGGGGATGAAAAATCCATCTTCCTTACAACTGTAGTGAGAAAACCTGGGACTGGATTTTCTGAGATGCTCTTTTGACAATTTCCATTATGTCTGGGGGCGATGAATTTTGAAGATTATAACTTACTATTCATTGTTATGTTAATATGCAGAAAGTTTACTTAATTTTAGCTTCCTAGTGAAAAATCTGATAGGTTAAATACTGAATGATTTTTTAAGCTATTGGAAATATTGTGGAATTTTAAATATTTTATATTTTTTGTGAACATTGCTTACATTTTTTTTGATAAATATAAGCAAAGGAAACCTTTCTAAATATTTAACACTGTGCTAATTTCTATACATTTTTAAGGTGCAGAAGAAACAATAAAGAAACTAAGAAATCTTCAATTTGCTAATGTTTTTCAGATGTTTTAATCCATTAAAGGAAGCTTTACTGTAAAATTATAAGGAACTGTTGTCTGCTGATTTATTGTGCTTGTGGGGCAGATACAATGAGAGCCTTTCTGCTGACTATGGGGATGGTTTTTGAAATAGTTTTAAACACAGCTTCTTAGCACTAAGCTTGTGTTTAACTTAGTGTTGAGTTCTCACTGGAATCACTAACGTTATTTGGTACAATATGCTTGTTGTAGCTTTTAACCTACTTGAAAGCCTAACTGGTTAGTGGAAAGCAACATACAAAGAGCATCTTAAATCTTAGATAAATGGTTCAGAAGTCGCTGGGAAGCTGAATGATTTTATATTAAAAGCTTTACAAGAGAGGGTTAGTGGTCTTGACTGCATTTCCCTTTAAACAGGAATCCTCTGTGCAACCTCCTACCACTACTTTCTCCAGACCAAATTTAGACTGTCAGCAGATGTGCTTAGAATAAAATGGACACGTAAAGTGTATTGTATTTGTCACTAAAAATACTCCTTTGAAGCTTGGGTGTTCTAATGTATCTGTTCCTTCAATATTTTTCTTATGCTTTATAATTCACAACAAAATAACTCCACTGAAAGTGCATATTTTGCTAACTCATTTTTAATTGTGGTTTGAAATCTTTGAGAGCTGCTTGTACCATGTTTTGGTTAGTTTTGGTTTTTGTTCTGTTTTGATACTGTGAGTGCACTAAGTATTCTTAGAGCTGAGCTAACCTTGGATTTGCTCATGGAGTCCCCATGGTCCAATTATGTCTTCATAATCAATAATTGCTCTTTGTTCTTAAATACTGTGCATCTCATCCAGATTTGGCCTCGTATTGCTTAAATAACCACAAAATACTTTAAAACTACATAGGAGTTAAGTTTGAGCATTTATATTAATAATCTTAATGTGGATAAATTTCTTCTATTTTAAATTAACGTATTTGCTCTTGTTTTAAGCTGTTGTAACAAACCATGGCTTTTAATACAACAAAGGGATGGCTCAAACTCTGCAAGCATCTGTGCCAAGAACAGGTGCTGTTTCTAACTATACTGAATATAAGATGCAAGATTTTTTTGCAGTTATTTTTCTTTTTTTCTTTAACTATTCACTTAATACAAGTGTACATACAAATAAATTTATTTTAATTGACAGAAGAAGGTGTTAAAACTCATCAAGATAGATTAGAATGGTGGTTTGAAGGGCAGGGAGGAAGGATTAGGGACTTCTTAGAGTTTACTTGAAGGCACTAAACAAGGATCCCCATCTTTCCAAGGCAATAGGTGGGCTGGGATGTGGCAGCTGCATTGAGCTTGCAGCTCAGAAACTCTTATGTAGGTAAAGAAGCCAGCATTCAGTGCAGGAAATCTGGATGGCAGGACATGATGAGATGCTTGGGTTTTGAATACATACTAAGTTGTTTTGAGTTTCTGATGGGCTCATTTTGGCAATTGATAATTGCTTGGTTGGATAACCAGCTGTTAGTTCAAAAGGAAATTTTGCCTTGTTAAGTTAGTAGCAGCAAGTCTATCTTCTTTTGTCAAGTGCTGCTTCATCTCAGTGAAGCTTGATTTCCATCTGCAAGAGGTAGAGATCCTTGCTTCATACAAGGAAGGCTATTAATTTTGTTGTTTGTTGTGTTACTAAACTGGGGTGGGCATACTATACTGTGGGAAATATCAAGGATGCTTCATGTCTGAAGCTTTTCTGGCTTGAACTTTATGCCGGTGTGATTGGAATAACATGAAAATTGTAATACTCTTCATGATGACCATCCAGCTTCAATACTCAATTTAGATCTATTTTAACCCAAGGGTTTAGTCTCTTTCTGATTTCTTTTTGGACATTTAATTATGTCAGACATGCAAATCAACCAAAATGATTCAGCCAAGTTTCTAGAATGCATATGGGGAAAACTTTCTGTTCATAATGTTTTTAAGTGGAGCCTGAAAGAAGTGGATACCTTTTATTTAAAAAGTCCTAGTAGTACATGCCTTGCAGGAAATATATAAGCATTTTTCAGGTGGTGTCATCTATTAGAACAGCTGAAAGGCCACACTCCTGATGGAAAATCAGTTAAGATTTGGCCTTTTCAGTGCTTCTGAAAAATGCAATGAAAAATGACAATACCTTACTGCAGCAGGAAGCTAGTTGTGACAGACTTTTTCAGGGAGGCAGGGATAGGAGCTAGGAAAACTTGCCAGTTTCCTTTGGCACCTGGCTTGCAAAGGTTTTTGATTCTTTTGTAGACAGCATGTAAAATGTGGTGGATACTGAACACCAGTGAAGCAGGGAAACCTGTGAGCTGTTGCCAGAGGTAAAGATAAGATTAGGAGATGAATTTAAGCAGGATTTTTCATATTAGGAAAAGTGATAATGAGTCATGGTAAAGTGGGAAAATAGTAAAATAGTAAAAATAATGGTAAATAGTAAAATAATGGGGAGTCTCAGAAAATGAGAATAACCTGTGCCACAGTTTGGTTTGAAGTGAACAGAAGGATTTAGTCTCAGACATGTGAACCAGCATTAAAATAAGAAGGGTACACAATCACTTCTATTTACTTTTGCTGCCATTACTCAAATGACAATTAGTTCAAACATCCAGAGAATTTTGGTGTGTGTATGTGTGTATATATATATATAATTCCCCATTATGAAACCAGGCATTGATGTTTTAGCATGTTAGGTATTTTGATTCCAAAAATGAAACCTAAAACTTGTTGAATGTTGAAAAGAGAGCAAAACAACAAAAACAACAACAAAATTTTAAGAGAACTCTAAATACAGGTCAAAAAGCCAAGCACTCATCTGTGTGGGTGGGTACACTTGCAAAATCTTGCTTTATTTGCCTGTATACAAATTTCTTCTCCCAGTAATCCTTCTGAAATTCAGTGTGTGGAATGGGTAGTGCTTCATTAGACTCGCTTTATTCTTTAGAGAGCAGAGTAAATAACACAAAAAGCAATGAGATTAAGGTTACAAAGGCAGCTTTGATTTTGGCAATTCAACTTTCATTTTGGCAATACCTAATTTTTATTTCTTGTCTTAGCAAACTTAATGAGTTGAGACTTTGAATTTTTTAATACAGCTTTTATTTTGTGTTGTGGGAAATATGTTGGGAATTACATTAATATACTACAATAAATGACCAGAATGCTATCTTCTTTAGCAGTATGTACTGTACTGAGTTACTAAGTTCTACATTGCTATACACTATGTACGTGCCATACAGTACATGGCTATATAAAAGTTCACATATTTCTTCCTTAGGTCCTGTGGCATACAGACCCTTTAGAGTTATGGGCTTCAGCTCCATCACAACATCCATACATGTATTGGTGGTGTCTTGACTGAACCACGCTGGTGTACACTGAATTGGAGAGTCAGGTAAGTGTTTATTTATGCTTGAATACAGCAAATGAAAAAAGCAGTAAGATTCTTAGATATTTTTTAATCTGTATGTGGTCACAAAACTGGAAATTTATCCTCCCTTTTCTCTTGATCACTAGAGACTCCAGAATCCAGCAGTATTTGTAATCTGATGCCTGCTGTATCATCACATTAAAAGCAATGGGCAATTTAGTAAATAAGGCTCAGTGACACTGGGTGAGGAAAAAAATCTTTGATTTTTTCTTTCTGTAAACAGCAGTCTGTTGAAATGTCTCACATTATCAAGTTCTGCTTTTTACAAATTATCTTCAGAGTTGTTACAGCTGTTTTGAGATTGATATATTTATATAACAACATCAGCTTTTATATCTTGTTTGTAAGCTTTTGGGAGGGTGATGAAAGGTATTTTAGTAGTTTGTTGCTAGTATAAAAGCATTAATAGGCATACTATGTCAGGACCAAACATTTGAGTCAAATTTAGTTATTCTGTGCCAAATGATACTTGCATGGTTGAAAGTATTTAATTTACTCTGAAACAAGCACTGGATATCTTCTCAATCATGTAATGGGCTTTTTCCTTTCCTAGTTTTACAAAGTATGATATATATTTAAAAGTGTATGCAGCACTGTATTTCTTAAGGTTTTATCTTGGTTTGACATTTCACTGATCTTTGCATTAGTCTTAACAACATAATTAGCATTTTATGTTATTTTAGTAATTTTTGGATATTCATAACACAATGAAAGTCAGTTCCTTGCAGCATAGTAGCTGTATTACGTAAAAAGGTTGGTTGTTCTTTATCTACATGTATTAGGATCACTGGAAGTTTGCCTGAGGAA